GGGCTGGGGGACGGGGAGGAGGCGGCGTCTCCCCTGTCCCGGGCTGACCCCGAGGGCGCCGACTGCCTGCCCGCTGCTGGAGGCCCGCTGACCTGTAAGGTCTGCGGCAAGAGCTGTGACAGCCCCCTCAACCTCAAGACCCACTTCCGCACGCACGGCATGGCGTTCATCAGGGCGCGGCAGGGGGGCAGTGGGGACAACTAGGCCCCGGGCCTGACCCGCGTCGTCCCCGGGAGCCTGGGTCTCGCTGCTGCCGCCCCTGACTCCCAGATGGGGAGTTTCCCGTCACACTGGGTCCAGTCCCTCCTCCCCAGCCCTGCAGGAAAAGCTTTTGGGGATCATAGTGATTTGCAGCTCCCTTTGGGGTTGGTCCTCGGGTCCTGGCCACACGGGCCCTCCTTTCCTCCCCTCCAAACCCGACACTAACCGCGCTCCTGCTGCAGTGGGTGGGAGGACAGGCCCCTGGTGACCCTGCAGGCAGGCGTGGGGCGGGTGACAGGGCGCTAGCCCTTCACGCGTCCTTCAGGCACCGATGGACACGGACTGCTGTCTCTTCCCCTGGGCTGGGCCCTGCCCTACTACCCCACACCCGGCACTCGAGCTCCTCACCCCTGCAGTGCCTTTCACGTGTCTTTTTCCCCAGAAATCCAGGCGGGGGGGTTGGTGGGGAGGAGTCCTGTGGGGGGGGGTTCAGGAAGAGGAGGGGACAGGCTCTCAGGAATCCTTTATTCTTGTAGTAACAATACTAACTGGGAGGAACCAGACCATTAAAACTGCTCGCGGTTGAACCCCCACTCGGGTCTCTGTAATTTGGTCGATGTGCACTGGGCAGGGAGGGGTGAGTGAACTGGGAGACCCTTCAGGAGGTGGGAACGAACACCCGCCTGCGTGGTGTGCGGTGCCGTTTGTACCCTGGACTCCGCTGCACCAGCCACTGCCCCCAGTGACACAGATGGCTAAGGACTTTATTTCAAACAGAAATTAAAAATAAAAAATTGAGAGCTATTCCCTGGGTGTGAGGGAGGGATCAGGGTAAGTTCCCTATGGCTAGGCCAGTTCCCTCATACGCTGGAGGGACTGTGCTAATTCCCTTCCCTGCCCCATGATGGGGGACTCAGCAAGTGCAAGATCAGATGGCATAGCCCGTTATCAGGGACCTGGGCTAGGGCTCAATCCCAGGGAGGGATGGTTTGGGCAGCGGCATGGCCAAAGCTAACCACAGGACTGAGTCCTAAGTACCAAGGACCTACTCGGTCCCCCTTCCCGGGCCCCAGGACGTGAGGCCGTCCCCTCATTCTCCAGTTCTCCAGGGCGGTGAGTCTTGGGGTCTGTCAGGTGTAATACTGACCGCGGGGCCAGGGCAGCCCAATTCGGGACCCTGAGGCAGGCTCTGCCCCGGACCAGCTCTTGCGGTTACCACATGATCCTTCGTATTTCTCGCCTTCCATTTCCCTCGGGTGGATGGTTGGGTCGGTGGGGTTTCCTGGTGTGGGATTTCTCAGACAGAGGGCCCTCCAGGAGGGCGCTGGATCCCGCGCTGTGCCTGGGCCTGAGGAGTTGGTTCACATGATGCCGTTGGTGAGGTACTGGAAGCCGTCGTAGAGCTTGGTGGTGATGGAGCGCATGCTGCCGTCCACCATCTGCTCTACCAGCAGCTGGAGCTGCTCCTCCGTCATGCTCATGTGGAACCTCTCTTTGAGGTTGCGAATGGTGCTGGAGCCGTGGAAGCAAGGAAGCTGTGAACCTGGGGGAGGAGGTGGGGTTGAGGGTCCTAGACCCGTGTGTCAGGCGTGGAGTACGGAGCTGGGCGTGCCCGGGGAGCCGGTCCCGCTTCAGAGCTCTGGCCCGTGCAGAGGACAGGGCTGGCCCGGTTCCACCCTGTGCAGCCCCACCGTCTCCCCAAGGGCAGAGGAGCAGTCGGGCTCTGAGCGGGGCACTTATCTGCGCGCAAAGCTCTGCCTATGCTACGTCTGACACTCACAGATGACTTGGGCCACCGTCATCACGGGGCCAGACGGGGAGGCTCCTGTGCCACAGCGACAACCTGTGGGGTGGGTGGGTGGGGAGACTGGCAGCTTAGGTCTCCTGTTCCCCTGGCGCCTTGGGGTCGGGGGAGGAAGAAGGAGGCCCAGAGGAGCTGGGAGAGGAGCAGGCAGAAGACTGCGGGGCAGCGAGCAGCGGCGGGGGGAAGCTGGAGACGACAGGATGATCTCAGAACAGGATGGGTGACGGTGGCAGAGGAAGGGGCCTGGGGGGGGCCGGGCCAGGGCAGTCAGCGTCAAAGTGGACCGGGGAGGAGACATCTGAGGTGGCGAAGCCAAGAGTGACGGAGGAGGCAAGGAACTCAGAGTTGGGCAAGGGCAGGAGAGGAGGAGCAGGAGCCTGGGCAGGGGACTTTCTCTCCTTGAGGCTGCCCAGCGGGTGGTTTCTGCTGCCCTCACCACTCCCCCAGACCCAGCTCTGCCAATCAGGAGGAAACGTCGTGAAGGAGAAAAACTGGGCACAGGTCTGAGCTGGGGCCTCCCAGGAACCCCCCACACCCTGACACTCTGGTTCTGGAGGTGGCATCAACTTTGCGGGAGCCCTAAGCACCAGCGCCCCCACCTTGCTGCATGATCTCCACGATCTGCACCACCTTATCCATGTGCTTCCGGGCCGCGATCAGCCCCTGCAGCATCAGCATCTTGTAATAGTTGAACATGTCACCGTCCAGGCCGCCCATCACCTGGGGAGGGGCCGGGGTGCTGTGGGACGGTTCCTCCCGCAGGCCTCTGGTGAAGCTCCCAGAAGTCCTGTCTCACCCGACTTCCGGCTGTCCCCGTTCTGTTCCCTCCACATCCCTCCCTCTCCCAGGGCAAAGATCACAGGGACCCTGGAGCGTGCTCCCTTCCGACTCACGTCTACAAACTCTGTGGTCAGCTTGAAGGCTGATGTCTCAAAGCCCAGGTTTCGGGGTGAGCTGGACAGGATGAAACCGAAGTCGATGTGGATAATGTGGCCTTCTGCGTCCAAAAGGATGTTCCCGTTGTGTCTGAGGAAGGAGAGGGAGGGGAGGGCGGGTGAGCGGGCCTGAGGCTGGAATCCTGGCCGCAGGGCGCCATGCTGGGCTGGGAGTCCCCTGTGTGTCCTGCTGCACAGAACTTCAGGATCTACAGGTAACTGTGAAAAGAAAGCGATCAGAAAAGAAAACTGCTAACAAGCCACAGGGTCTGAAATTGCTGTTATTAACAGGAGAATCAGAAGTTTAAGATTATCTCAATTTCCTGGAAATTACTCTTCCAGAATTCAACTGATCCCAATCTAGTAAGAACCCCGAAGCACATAAAGGCCTCCTGGGCTCCCGCCAAGCCCTGCTAGGTGAGAGGCCTCGCTCACAACCGGTCATTCCTATCAGCCACTGCAAAACACAAGGCCCATGAGGAAGTACCTGGAGGCATGGGGCTGAGGGGACCTTAAATGTAAACTAGTGTGGGGGTTTCCAGAGGAAAGTTTTAAATCACTTTTATGTTAACAAAACAAAACAAAACAAAAACCCACCCCAGGAGACAAACACTACAGGGTGGCTGCAGAGGAAGAAGAGTTAAAGAGAGATAAATCCCAGCCTTTGTGATTCCCACATGTATGGCTGGTGGGAAGAACAGTTAGCATGCTAAGCATGTGAGGCCCGTGGGTCCTCTCACTTCAATAGGGGCTTTGTCAGGCCATGCTGCCTGGGCGTGAGGGCCGCCTTCTCTGGGAGGGCTGGCCTGGTCTCACGAGCGCCCCCTCTGGGAGGCGCTGACCTTTAACTATGCAGATAGATCCTGAGAAGGCCTCTCGTGGGCTCGCGTTTTACAGGTGGGCGCACAGGGACTTCCTTGCCCAAGGGGCCAAGGCAGTTGGCGGGTTATCTTATCTCCAGTCTGGGGCTCACCTGAAGTGAGGGACCCTCCTGGGGACCACACACTGTCGCTCCTTCTCCCCAGTGGCTGACCATTTATATCTGTTCTCTCTTTCTGTTTTTGGTACTGAGGATTGAATACAGGGTCTTCACACCCTTTTTATTTTTAAATGAGACAGGGTATTGTTAAGTCACTAAATTGCCCAGGCAGGGCTCAAACTTGTGATCCTCCTGCCTCAGCTTCCCAGGGTACTGGTATTATATGCCTGTGCCACCATGTCTGGCTATTTTTCTATCCCTTCCACCTCTTCTTTTTCCCTCCTTCCCTCTCTCTCTCCTTTTAAAAAACAAACTCTGAGCCAGGTGTGGTGGAGCACACCTGTAATCCCAGCACTGGGGAGGCTGAGGCAGGAGAATCATTGAGTTCGAGACCAGCCTGACCTGCACAGACAAATCCTGTTTCAAAAATCAAACTAAACCAGGGCTGGAGATTAAGCTCAGTGGTTCCACTGCCTGCCTTGCAAGCTCAAGGTCCCAAGTTTGATCCCTGGTACAAAAAAACCCCAGTAACAAGAAAAACCAAACTAGAAAAATAAGCTCTGGTGGGTTTTATTAATAATTTTGCATGAGCTGGGCATGGTGGCGCACACCTATAATCCCAGCACTCAGGAGGCTGAAGCAGGAGGATCGCTGCGAGTTCGAGACCAGCCTGGGCTACATAGTGAGCTCCAGGTCAATCTCAATTACATAGTGAGACCCTGTTTCAAAACACAAAACAAAACTAAACAACATTTTGCATGCCTGACCCCTCAGTAGGCTGTCCTCACACGCTGGCATCAGTGCAGTGTATCCTCCGTGGTGTTTCCACATGCTGTGCCCGAATGGCTGGGGCCATGGGTGACCAGCCCTGGTTTGGCACAGTCTTCTAGTGCAGACCCACCCAGAGCTGCGCAGTTGTTGGCAAGGAGGCTGGGTTTCATTTTGACTTCTAACTTCAGAGGCTGCTAGTGCCTGCTTTATTGTTACTTCTTTCAGCGTAGTTTTTATTAGTTGACTCTGTGATACACAATGATTACCTTCCCCTTGGGAAGCTGGTTTATATACCACATCTTCATTATTTTCACTTGCTCTCTCTCTGCGTACCCTCATTCCCAGACCTCCTCCTATCTCCACAGTGTACCTCCCTGCTCCAGTCTCTCTCCTGAGTTTTATGTAAGAGACACCATTTCCTTCACTGAACAGTATGGTCTCAAGGTGCATCCGTTTTCCTACAGATGACTTGCTCATCCTGCTTTCTGGCAGAGTAGTGCTCCACTGAGTAGAAACACCAATTCTCTCTGTCCGCTCATTTGCTGATGGACACACAGGCTGCTTCCGAGACTTTGCCCCAGCACCTACTTTACATTTAGTTTTATGAGTTGGAGCCCAGAATTGATCACCTTCTACTGTTTTGATTTCTTCAGTGACCTTTTCTCTTTGTGGCCACCACTGCCTGCCATAGGTGCCAGGAGGCACCTAATCGCGACTGTTCTGTCTTTAAGATGAGCTTTTGCTGTCATTGCTATGAGGCCTCACAGGCTGGCACCAAACTTGCATCTTCTGCCTTAGCCTCCCAAGCCCTGAGATCGCAGACGGATGCCACAGCACCCAGCTCCTTCCCCGCTGAGTTCTTATACATGCTCGCTCACCCGCGCCCCCAAGGATGGGTTCCCGTCTTCCAGACAGGAGTTTCCCGAAGGACAGCCCCACGCCTGGCTGGTACCAGCTTTCCTGCCACACCTTTACTCAGTGCTGGGCTGAGCCCTTGGCGCTGTAGGCCCTGAGTTCAAAACCCTAAGGCTTCAGGGTCAGTGGAAGACTGCACAGAGGCGCCTCACAACCCACGCCCAGCGGTCCTCCCAGCAGAGCCCTCGGTGAGGGTGCGGGTTCACCTGTGGGCCAGCAGGGTGTAATGAGCAAGGTTCTGAGTCACCTGACCCTTGCCAAACGCCTGCCTAGCAGAACGTTCATCCTGCTGGAACGAGAAGTTCGCGGCTGGGGCTTCACCTTCATCTCCACCGAGTCCTGCATTTGTGTTCCTTTCTGCCAAGCCTAAGCCATACCTTGGAGCCAGGCTCCATGACCTCTCGCCTGGCTGCCGAAGGCCCGGTTACACCCAGACACCACCCCACGGAACCCAGGGGCTGGCGCATGCTCGGCGGTGCTAGGCCCGCTTACCTGACTGAGGTCACTGCGTGCTACTCCCCTGCTACCATTTCTCACAGGGAGCGTATGTCCTCCACAGCTCTGTCTGGCCTCTTGGTTCCTCACTCCTCTCACAGACCCTTCATCTCTTTGCTCTTTTACCCTAGTGCTTGTCACTCTGCCCGCTCGGCACATGCTCATTTCGAGGTATCTGTCTCTGCTAAAAGTATGTCCCGTGTTCCCCAACTGAGAGCTGCACCTGGAAGGACAGAGGGGACTTCGGCGAAAGATGAGAGGCAGAAGTCACTCACCTGTCCTTGACTTGCAGCAGGTAGCAGACCAAGCAGTAGCCAGCACAGCTCTGCACAAAATTGCGCTGGGCACTGAGGAACGCCTCGGTGGTGTAACTGCCGTGCTCCTGGAGGAAGTAATCGAGCAAGGACAGCTGGGACTGCTTCTTCACCTGATGGATGGACACGGCATTGACCACCGGTTCAATTACGCCACTGTCAGCCGAGATCACAAGAATCTTGTACGGCTTGATCCAAAGGGGTACTCGCTCTTGTTCCCAGATGGACTGTGAGGAGAGACAGGGCGGTAAGGCACTCTTGTCTTTCTCCGAGAGGGAAGAAGGCCACATTTCCCTCCTCTGACCTCCTCGGTGGCCTTGGATTGTAAAGCGCGTCAGACCCACTGACCTACTGAGAACAGGACTGACAGGAATTCCAGGGTCGACAGAGACAGGAAGCTACTCTTAGGGTTTGTGAACGCAGCTATCACATAGGTAGAAAGGCCGAGAAAGCCAGAGAAAAGGGCAAACCTTACCATCACCTTACAGGCAGGGAGAGCGGAAGATGTAAGGTCAGTTCAAATAAGAAAAGTGACAGGGAAGGGTTTAGGCCCAGAGAAAGCTCTAGAAAAGGAACACATCGATACAAAGAACCACATCGAACAGGCGAAGCTGCTTGCTGCCAAGCCAGGGACTCAGGGATCAATATCCCAGCACAGTGGAATCTACCCATCGCAGACCATTTGGAAAGTTATTTATTTATTTTTGGCACCAGGGATTGAACTCAGGACCTTGCATTTGCGAGGCAGGTGGCAGAACCACTGAGCTAAATCCCCGGGCACCGCCCCCTCCTCCCCCCTTTTTGAGACAGGATCTTGCTGTGTAGCCCAGGCTGGCTTCAAACTCTCTGCGATCCTCCTGCCTCAGCCTCACAAGTGCTGGGACTACAGGAGTGTGCCACCATCCCTGGCTTGGGAAACTGATTTAAAGGAGAAACAAACCTAGCATCCCAAGGTTCAAGGGTCAGAAAACAGCAGGAGCAATTTACATAAGGGCCAACAGAGGTCACTGTGGAGCTGTTCCTGGGGCTTCATTTCCCAGGGAAAGGTAGGCCGGCTGTGGCAGTTTAATCTGCTTCCAACTGAGATGTGGGCTGGAGCTGGTCCTCAGCAATGCTCCCTGCAGCCCCGCCTTCCTGTGTGGTCACTCAGGTGGGCTGGAGTTAGGCTGAGTGCCCTTTCCCCTCCCTCCCTCCCTCCTTTATTTCTTCTGTTTGTGTGTGTGGTTCTGGGGATGGAACCCAGGGCTTCTGAACTGAGCTACATCCCCCCAACCTTTTCTATTTTTTAAGACAGGGTCTCACTAAGACTGTGCTTGAACTTGCAATCCTCCTGCTTCAGCCTCCCCAGTTGCTGTGATTACAGGCATGACCACCATCCCTAGCTCTCTTTCTTCTTCCCTTTCATCACCTGCAGTTGCTTCAGCACCTGGAAGGCCAGCAGCTCCTGACGAAGGTCATCACCACACTTGACAATGACTGACAGGAGCCGCCAGTTGGGCAGATGGCCGTAGGGGGAGGCTTCTCTGATCCGCCTGTTGAGAAAGAAGTAGAGGACATCACGGGTGTTGGCGTCGGGGTGAGGGTGCAGAGGACCCGGAAGTCTGACGGAGTTTCTGGAGGCCGACAGGCAATAAAGATGGTGCTGTCCATGGGCTTACAAGATGAGGGGACTCTTAAGTATTTGTCGGATGGTCCTTCCTGGCAGAACCAAGCTTGCTTCACAGAAATACTGGCATTAACTTGGTGATGACGTTCCTCAGTCCCAGCCTACCTTACAGAGTGGGTTTGCTCTGCTCTTACTGGCTTGTTTGTATCTATTTATAAGCTTTCTAACTTGTCTGTCAATATTCTAATGTTTTAGGGTGCTCACTACACAATGGACAGGATCAGACTTGAATGGACTCTGGATAAATTCAGTCCGAGAGGCGCTCTAAATCTCTGACATTGCTCAAATTTGGCGAGAAGGGTTTATTTTTTTGGTACCAGGATCAAACTCAGGACCTGGTGCTTGTGAGGCAGGTGGCAGCACCACAGAGCTAAATCCCGGCCCTGGTGAGAAGGATTTTGTGATCCTGACTCCAGGCGGATGTCACGTCCCCTCTGCATCGGACACTGACTGACCAGCACTGGGAAAGCTCCCTCCACAGCAGGGGCCAACTCAGCAGTACCTCCAGAGAAGCAAACTCACTCAGAGACGGGGAAAGGGAAAGAGCCGGCGGTGCCAGCCCTACCGTGGTAAGCAGAGCTGCGGAGGTTATGAAAAGAGGGTTCTTAGACACGACCACCTAAAGCAGAAGCCCTTCTAGCAGGTGTAGCTGTTAGCGCCAGCTTTTGACTTTAGTTTTCTTTTGGGTTTGACCTCACAGTCTTTAGTGATAACCTCTTAAGGCTTCCCTTTATCTGTGTTCCAGCTACCTCAGATGGAACCTGCACAGCAATCCCACATGAGAGCCAGCCATGAAATATGTCACTTCAGGGTCTTCAAGACTGAGGGTTTGCCGGCTATGGTGATGCACACCTATAATTCCAGCACTCGGGAGGCCGAAGCAGGAGGATCGCTGGGAATTCAAGGCCAGCCTGAGTTAAATAGTGAGTTTAAGGCCAGCCTGAACTGCATAGCAAGACCTTGTCTCTCAAACAAACAAACAACAACAACAAAAACCCAAACAAACAAAAAGACTGAAGGCTGGACTAAAGCAAAGGGCAGAGCAGTAAATGGTACCCCAAAATAAATCCATTTATATGAGGATTTTTTTTCTTTTGGGACAAGTAGCTTCAAACTTTCTCAGGCTTAGGGCATAAACAGTTACCGCCACCTCTCCTCAGCCCAGATAAAGGGTCAGAAGATGCAGACCATGGCTCGGGAAGTCAAGCCCAATTTCATTTCTTTAGACAAGGGAGGGAGAAGTCCTGGTCCAGGACGGGATGGAAAAAGCCTGAATGCATCTACTGTTCCTCTGTACTCCCTCCCGCTGCCATTCTTGCTATAAAAGACCCCAACACATCTGGACACAGTGAGAGGATGATTTGAGGCAAGTGGACCCTTCCATCTTCCCTGAGCTAGCTTTGAATAAATCCATTTTACAAAGGAAAAAAAAGATGGTGCAGAGAGCAACAGCAATTTCCTTGGACATTTCAAAGGATGAGGGGCCACGCCTCCCTACTCACCGAACTTTCTCCTGCCAGGGCTCTTTGAGAGCAACTGCAGAAGGGTCTTCTGGGTCTCGCTTGAAGGCAGTAGGGGTGTGGGCCAGCTGCTCGGAGAGGCGCCGTCTAGCAGGAAGAAAATACATCATGTGCTTGGAGGAGTTACCCCAGAGCCTCATGCCCGTCTATGCCAGCATTCTCTGCACTGCTCCTGGACTCTGGGCACAAAAAGACAGGAGCCAAGGCTGAGAGAGACTCACAGGAGGAAGTGTAATCAGTGGGACCATGAGAAACTGCAGAGCACCCGCCCTCCCGTCCTCCCACCCACCAGTGACTTGGAATGGGAACGGCCCCAGAATCTGCATTCCCAGCTGATTTCCTCTGCCTGGATTCTGATGCACATCTATTTCTGACCCCACTTTGAGAATCACTGCTCAAATTCTTTTCTCAGGTGTTTTCATCTCTGGGATCTTCTTAAAATTTTCTTTCTTTCTGCAGTAGTTAAAGCAGTCTCAACCTGTACCTTCACAGCCTCGGGTATGATGGTCTTAGGACAAGCACAGAATAAGGAGAGGAGGGGAAAGACGCTGGCTGCCACAGACAAGAGAACAGAGAGAGGCAGTGTCTGAAAGAGAGACAGGAAAGGAGGTGACCTGAGCGGGCCATACCGGATGTCCCCTGCTGCGATGAACACAGGCTCTTTGCTCTCCTGGCTGGTGATGCTGTCCACGGAGAACTGGGAGATGTTGTCACAGCTGTTGGTGTGCACTTCCGGAAGCTGGGGACAGCAAAGCAGGGCGGTCGGCAGTGCTAAGCACGGCCTCCCTCTCTCACCGCTGCCCACCTGCCGCTGCCACTCACGTTCTGCTGTCCCTGTCAGCCTGCTCCCCACACCGGGACCCCAGCTGCACAGGCGGTCACGTGGACCAGCAGCTGTGCTTCCCCAGGTGTGCGCTGCCCGCACTGCTGGTTGAGATGCCTGCTGAAATGCTATACTAGTCTGAGCCAGAAACCTGGGAATGAAACCCGGAAGTCCAAAGTTGTAACAGGTTCCCCGGCGCTAAAGCTGACATCACTGCCATGGCCGCCACTGAGGCCTCAACCTTGAGCCTTGGACTGAGCCCCCCGTGCCTTGGGCTGTTTCCCCCGGGGCTCCAGACTAGATTCTTCTGACCATCTCTTCATCTAAGCCATACAGTTTGGTCTCCCCATTTGTAACTGGACCAGACCCCAAGGCCCCTATCCAGTGTCGCACCTGTCACCCAGTGCTCTTGCCTCAAACAATGGATATTAATGTTTTTCTTAAATGTTTATGTCTAGCCTTCCAAAAGAATGCCCGACATAAAATCCTGCTCCGGGTCTCTGTAGCCGTGGAATAAACGCTGAGTTCCCTTCCGCAGCTGACAAGCTCCTTCCCATCGTCTGGCGGGTGCCAGCCTCTGCAGCCTCATCCCTCACTGTCCCCCCGCGCACCCACGGCCGGACAAATGCTCTTTCGCTCCTGTCACGCCGGCTCCGGCTCCCACTTCTAGTCTCGGTACGGGTTTCCTTTGCCCGAAGGCTCTCTGTCCACTCCTTCCAACATCCTCAGCCTGAGCTGAGAAGTGACTTCCTCCAGGGGTCGCTCCCCACCCCTCCAGCTTCTCCTCCAAACCTGGGCCACACATCACACCTATCTGCCTACTGTTCCCTCCCTCTCTCCCATGAGGTCGCATTAGGTCCTAACTCCTAGGTGGGGCCGTGCTTGTTCGCTAGCACACAGCACACAGCACACAGCACACAGAAGTGACTCGCTGCTCTGTTACCACAAGACAATTTTCTTTCTTTGTTAAAAATAACAGCATTCTATTTCATAAATGAAGTGGCTGGAAAAAAATAATGTCTTTAAAGGAAAAAATGTTTTCTCTCTTAGCAAATTTGTTGCACTAAAACCATGCTGAGAAGTTATGGTATCAATAAAAAGTTGTTGCCTTATTTAATTCTTTTTGTTTTGTTTTTTTGGTACCGGGGATTGAACTCGGGTCCTTGTGCTTGCAAGGCGGGCCACCGAACCGCTGAGCTACATCCCCAGCCCTGCCTTATTTAATTCTTAATTCTATGATGAAATAAAAAACTTTGGTCCTGATTTAGATACAGAGCCAACCTCGTCCTGAGAATAAACTCTGGCACACTGATGACTGTTCATACAGGAAACTGATTCACAATTTAGAAATTAATATTTTGAACATTCGTGAGACAACCTTCTGTAGCGAGGGCCAATGAACACGTTCAGTGAACCGCCCTCATTGCCCTGGTGCTAATGCAAGGCCTCACCTTTAACTTGGGGGAACGAGGCCCACCGAGCGCACCCAGGCCAGAGCCGCTCAGCGCGCGCCGTGTCACACTCGGCACTGGCCCCACCGCTCATCTGAGCTCTCGCCGTCTCGAGCCGTGGCAGGGCCTGGAGGTCAGGGGCTGTACCCTGACTTTACCCCTGCAGTTCCCTCACCTCCACCTGCAGCTCGCCGATGTCGTCCACCGACCAGGCCTCGTCGTCGTTGTCGTAGTTGGGCACGGTGCTGAAGCTGCCGGCCCGCTGCTCGTGGGTGATGCCACATTCGGGCAGATTCTCCACAGACCGAGTGCTCCGGATTCGGTTCTCGGGGATCCGGGCAGGGACGCTGGTAGTGTCGAAGTTTTCACATTCAAGGACTTCCACGTAGATCAGGTAGGGAGCCTGCGGGGTGGTGAGAACAGCACTCGCAGCTGAGCTCTGCCACGACCTCCACGCTCAACTCTGCGCTCCAGCCCGCATCCATCAGCCCCTAATGCTGCGATGCCACGTCAGGGCTGGGGCTGCCACCTGAGTCTCTATGTAAAGAATCTGGGTGAGGCGCTGCACAGCCTTCCAGATGTTCAGCTGGGCTTCAGAACACACAGACAGTGCAGCGGGACAAAGGTTCCAACTGTCAATTATACCTTGGAAGTGAGGCCCAGAAGCCTCTGTCGGCTTGTCCTAAAGACAGGCCCAGGCCAGGCTGGTGGCACACGCCTGTAATCCCAGCATTTGGGTGGCTGAGGCAGGAAGATTGCCTTGAGTTTGAGGCCAGCCTGGGCTACATAGTGAGTTTAAGGCCAGTCTGAACTACATAGCGATGCCCTGTCTCAAAAAAAAAAATAAATAAATAAAATAAAGGGCCCAGGGGAACTGCTGTGGACAAAGACTGGACCAGACTGGGCACTATCCCATGGAGGATTCTAGTCTTCAACAGTTCCTCTGAAAGAAGAATCTGAACCCTTAGTGCTCATTCCTTACAGAAGGCCTAGAGCAGAGCCACCAAGATGACTATAAAGGGCAGCAGGAGGCAAGTTGAAAAGTTCAGGCTCCTTTGTTTGGTCCAGAGGAGCAGCAGGTGGGAGTGATCGTCGCACTGAGGCAGAGCCAGATGGGTACACGCACCTGGACGACAGCAGCCCAGGGTGTCAGTAGGGTTTCTGGGCACATGCACAAAACGTGGACATTCACGGGGGGAAGTGAGGGCGGCACTAGGTTTGGGCCAAAGCCCGCTCACCTTGTCCTTGGAGTTGAGAACCACAGCCTGTGTGTGTGGCACACGGACCACGTGGTGGTCAAAGCCGGCGGTGGGCAGCCAGACTCGGGCGGGGAGCTTATGGTTGAGCAGGGAGAGCTCTGAGATCAGCCGCTGTGTTTTCTGCTCTTTGGTGGGGAGCGTGGCCAGCCGTTTGCCGATTGCCATGAGGGACTTGATGAATTCTCGCTCAGGGGCCAGTCGGACAGGCTAAAGGGGGTTGGGATGAAACAAAAGATGGTGAAAAAACTATACAAAAAAGTAGCCCGCACCCTCATCATCCTGGCCCTGCTGGCCAAGGACCCCAGTGTCAAGAGAAACTTTTCCCACGGTAGGTAGGAGAGTCCGCCTGCCCCTCTGCGCTCCAGCTGCGTATGGAGCTGTCCCTCCAGCCGTCCCTCCCCGTGGACTTCTTGAGAATGAGGGGCCTGCGTCCAGGGGTCACCCCTCTTCTCTTAGACTTGTGCTCTTCAAGGACGTCCCTAGGCTTGGGGGCAGGCAGGGGTAGTCTCTAGAGAGGGTGTCCAGGGCCGGGCCGGGCCGGGCCTAGAGGGGCGCTGCTTGCTCTTGAGATGCCTCACTCGCCCAGACAAGGCTGGCCCTCCCCGCTCGGGCCCCTGGGCTGGGTCTCAACTGAGGGGCCCCCTCGGGCCTACAAGGCTGGGGAGGGAGTGCTAAACCAGCATTTCCCCTTTCCAAGGTGGAAGACCTCTTCATCCAAACTACTTGTGGCTTTCCATGGCATTCCACAGTCTTGTCCGTCCCACAGTTTCTCATAAGGGCTCAGTGCACATGCAGGAGATGAGGAAATGAGCAAACTTTGCATTAATGAGGAACAACCAATAATCAGTGGGCAAAGGAAAAGCAGATGGGGGGAGGGAGGCACGGAGGGTGGGTGGAGAAAGCAACTGCTCCTTTCAGCCCTTGACCACGGCCCTGAAGGCCCCTCTCAAACCCTTCCTCCTTGGACCCTCTTCCTGAACCTCTCAGTGACCAGGCTCCTCCTAAGGGTACCTACCCTGCTCTGAGCCTGGCTGCTCTCTCCAGCCCTTCAGTCATTCCCGGAAAAAGTGGTCAGTTTGGATGGAGAGTGCGGTGGGGTGCGGGAAAAGACGGACTCAGCTAAACATAAAGAAGGCTCTGTTCCCAGTCTGTCCTTCTACCACAAAGGGTATTTTACCAAAACAGCCGCCTCACTCCCCGTTCCTGCTCTTCAGCGAGAGAAGAACATTACCTCTTCTTACAGAAATAGCATTTCACTCACCAGGCTTTTCTCTTCCTTTCTGAGTGTGTCTTGCTTAGTTTCCTGATTGAGAATGTCTACCCTCACTCCCTCACACTGCAAAGAAAGAGCTGCTTTTGAAAACTAGGCAGTACCAGGTCCACTGCGCATGTGTGACAGAGCCAGGGTGCAAAGGACAGCTGTCTCGCAGCCTCTACCCCACCATGGGAGGAGGCGGGCTGTCCCAGAGCCACACACAGTAACGAGGAGTCAGGAATGCTTTAGGGGGCAAAGTTGAAAAGAGAGAAAGAAAAGGAATACAATAGGTCTGAGCTTCTGTGATCCCTAGAAATGTCCTGGAGGCCTAACAGAGAAAGAGAAGAAGGGGAAACTGGAAGATTCACTCCATCCCGATCCCCTAGTCCATGCACTCAGGGCCAAGAGGTCTCCTTTCCAAGGACCTTCCACCCCAATGAATCCATAGCGCTCTCAGATCAGAAAAGCAGAATCTCTTCCCACCCTAAGTGATGTGAGTATATGTTGGAAATGTGACCCCCGGCCTCCAGAGAGAGGCTCTACTACATGGGAGGAGACAGGAATAATGACTGAAAGGGGATTAGCGCAGAACACAGAAAACTGATTGGGTAGACAACAAAAAGGAAAATAAAATCAGCCAAACTCCCAGAAGGTCCAGCATTTCCTCTCACGTCTTTGCCCAGCAACAAAGTCCAAGACCCCGTGGGACTAGAGGGTCCAGGATAGCGCAGAAGGAGTGAGAAAGGAGAACGAAATTAAGGAGCGTCCTGGGAAGTGAGCTGGGAAAAGGGAAGAACTCAGACCTGGAAGAAAGGTGGTTGAAGTTAAAAAAGAAAACCAGTTGTGGGGAGGCAGAACTTTCCTTCAGGTCCAGGCCTATTTGCTTTTGGAGTTGGCTCACCCAGAACAGGGCCTCGAACTTAGACGACTCAATAAATATTTGATGGCCTGATGGCAAAAGCCATAGGGAAAGGAGTCCGGGCAGGAGACACGGGATCCTGCGGGTTTCTGCCAAGCAGTTCTTGGCTCTAATCCAGGAGTGAATTCTACCTCTCTCCCAGCTGTTTCCTCCAGAGCCCGGGGAGCTGGGAGCTGAGAGTTGTGGCAACCCCAGCTGTCTCTGAGACAAGATCAACCAAGCTCATCCCAGCCTGGGCTCAGGGCCCTGGCAGCGAAGGTCAGGGGGCTCCTCTGGGAGACCTGAGAGGGAGAAGCTGATCTCCCAGAAATTAAAGGGGCTTTTGAGCTCCGGCCTAGACCTGGGACGGAGAGGAAATGCGGCCACAGGGGGAGCCTGCCACCCAGTCCCAGCCTGGCCCCACTTACGGAACTGAATGAATTATCAATACTCTCGGTGCTGGAGGAGAGCTCCTGGGAAAGGGCCAGAGGGCGAGGGGAGGAGGAGGGGCAGGGAGGGAAAGGAGAGAGACAAAGGCAAAGAATTTAGCTCCACCTTGGACCAGAACTGCTTCTCCGGTGCAGCCCTTTGTGCATTAATGAAAGAAAGCCAGCCCAGAAACGCCACTAGCCCAGACCTAGACCCTGCAGGAGACCTGGGAGGCAGCCCAGACCTCGAGGTCGAGGTCAGAGGAGCTGAAGAGGCAGGGAGGCTCCTTCACTTTGTTCCTGCCAGGACAGATCTTTCTGAAGTAATCTTCCTTTTAAGATGACACCTAAAGCTGAGATCCTGGGGCAGTAACTGCACTGCCAAGTTTGACTGTTCTTTCTCTTCACCTCTGACAGGCTGTCAGCCAGCCCCTTCTCCGTGAGGACAGCAGAGACTGGATTTAACAAGCTGCGTGACCCTCACACTGGAAGCCCCAGGCTCCTCTGGCTTCTTAGAAATCTCAGGGAATAAAAAGAACTACTTTCAGTGCCAAGCACATATCCCTCCCCTTTAATCAGCCTTGTTATCACCCTGGGAAAACTTATCCCAACCTTGAACTTGGGTGACGAAGGGCACCCCGAGCCCATGAACTTGAAACCTGTGTGCTGGGTGCGGGTAGAAGTTAAGGACACATCAGTCAAGCATCTATCAGGCGTCCTAGCAGGCTACTTCACATGATACTCAATATATTACAACTTTTTTTTTTTACTTAAGTTGGGGAGTTAGGGTCTAGCTAAATCCATCTGAGAAGATGACAGCCCAGGGCAGCAGCTATTCTAGTTTTAGCCCAGGGGAATAATCTTTTTTTGTTGTTGTTTCGGGGATTGAACTTGGGACCCTGCATTTGCCATGCAGGTGGTGGAACCACCGAGTTAAATCCCTGGCCCCCAGGGCACTAATCTTACACATCGCCCCATTCCTGTGTCATAGCGGTGTCTGGGGGAACAAAACGGGGAAGTTCTGCGGCAGTGCTCATGTGCAGGGACACCCTGCGTCTTCCCAACACGGTCTGCCAGGGCAGGGAGCAGGGGCAACGTCGTACAAACATGCAGGAGGGGAGGGGCCTGGCCTTCAGAAGGCAAAGTCCTTCCAGGCAGGAAAGCAGTGGGCGCTGAGCTTCTACTCTGCTGGTGTTTCAAGCACTGACTTAATTCACTTCCACAGTTTAAATACTACTTTAGCTGGCGGTCTTATTGTCAAGTCTTTGCTGAACCATCTGGGCAGAAAAGCACATTAAAGGAAAAGCCACACTTGGAACCATTCCTTGGATAGAAGTGGGAGGGCGAACTGGACAGTAAGGGTGCCCATCTCAGTGGTTCAGTTTCTACCTGTAGGCTGGCTGGGGAGGAACAGCACAAGAGACGTTAGCTCCGTGGACATTGGTGCAGGGGGTTTTCTCACAGACAGGTTCCTGCGGAGGAGCGAACAGCCCTGTGAGGAGGGAGCTGTATCGTGACCTGCTCCCCTCCTCCTACTCCCTGGGCTTGAGTCCCTCAGACTGAGTCAGCTGCAGGGAATAAGGCTGAGGCCCAGAGGCTGACATCATACCATATCAGGCTGGAAGGCCCAGAGGGCTTCCAATGTGACATGCAGCAGATTTCTCTGTACAAAGGTTGCAGTCCTGAAAAGACAAAGCTGGTCTACTCAGGGTGTCGTGCAGGGCAGGGATGGGGCAGGGACGGCATCCAAATCACTCTGTTCCTTGCATCCCTCACTCTTTGCCAAAATATTTATCAGGTGGCTGATAAGTGCTTTGAAAAAAAAGGGATTTGGGAGGAACAGTGAGAGATGGGAAGAATCAGTGCTACAGCCCTCTGATGTGGAGGTGTGAGAAGATTCCTCAAGAAAAGAAAATGGAAACTTCTGTGAGATTTGGGCAAGAAGAGCTCTTCCAGGAAACCCCAGGCGGGAAGCGAACTGCAGCAGCCCCTGGACCTCCCCCTGTAAAGCCCCGCGTCACTCTCTGAAGCTTCTCCACTGTAGTTGAGCATGGGATTTAAACTCAGAACTCAAAGGAAAAGCAGAGAGCAGGAGTAGAGTGTCAGGACCCACCTGGAAATTCCCCTTCTAGAATGTATCCGCTCTGGCCTTAGAAAATTCTGTTTTTCACTTGAGTAAGGTGTCTATTTCCCGGTTATGGGCAGGAAACACCTTTTCAAGAGAGTCACAAACTAATCAGTTCCCTAGATAGTGGGGATTTCATATCACCCTATCAGTTCCTACAGAAAAGAACTGCATTTTGTTCCCCATCCTTTGCTGACTTTAGAACAGGACTTTACTCACTGGACAAGATCGGTAACTAGCTGCTGAGAGAACGGATGCTGCGTGACAGGGGGAGGAAGAGCCAGTTCTCTTGGTACCCGGGTGGGGGACAAAGGCCCTGACAGACATAGATAATTTCCAAATGCCAAGGAGGGTGAGGGGACCCTGTGCTGGGGAGGTCAGTGCTCAGAAACTGAGTGACATTAACGTTTATGTTCTCTTTCTTGTTCACATATTCGGAGGAGTCACAGTGGATTCAGGTGTCTCGTTCTGCCTGCATCAGATAACCCAGGTAGGCCTGGGGATGAGGTATCTCCTTTCTTTCTTGGATCCAGTGACCCCAGATAAGGAGCCAGGCTGGGGAGAATGGCCGCTGGAGTGCTCACCCACAGAATACCTGCCATTCTGAGGTATCCACTGTCCTGGAGCAGAATACCTGCCAGGAAGAGGGATCCAGGACCAGCACAGGGCACGAGAAGCCCTAAGGCCTCTGCTTTTCTGGACTAAGATGAAGACTACAAAATGGATACAGAAGAGAGACAAGCCTGACAAAGAATTCCCTTTTGGCTGCTCACAATTGAACTGTTGCAGATCGGGCTCCAAGAGAAGGCAGCTCTTCGTGACCTCAGTTCCATCAGAATTTGGAAGATTCTTCTTGCTCTGCAACAACCTGCCTTCATGGCCTCTGGGCTCTGCTGCCAGGCTCAGACAGAAATGAAAATGGTCTATTCTGGTGCCAAGAACAGCCTGGGCTTTGTGCATGGGTGTGGAAGTGTAGATGGTCATTGCATGGGCTGTTTTACCCCAGAGGCTTCTGACAGCTGCGATCTGGGGACGTAGATGCTGAGAGACAGTGAAGGCAGCTCAGCTGGATGACTGTGGGCATGGGCTGAGGATCTGGGTGCTCAGGTGACATTCCCCAGTTCTAGGACCTGTCTAAACCTCAGTTTCCTCATTGGTAAAATAATACATATGTCTGTAATGCTTGATGTGAGAATTAAATGTAAAGTACCTGGTATGATGCGTGTCAATACCAGCGCTCAATAAACACTAGCAGCACTTTTACCATTATTAAATTATCATAATAAATAACACATTTCCAGAGAGAGCACGATGTCTAGTTTATCTCTCTTGTTTTTCCCTTCCCAAGTCACTGACTTCCCTCTACTTGAAGGAGTCCCACTGTATCAAAACATGGGTGAGGGCCGGGGATTTAGCTCAGCGGTTTGGTGGCCTGCCTCACAAGTGTAAGGACCCAAGTTCGATCCCCAGTACCAAAAAAAAAAAAAAAAAAAAAA